TTTTAAACCATTTACACAAAGCTGGATTCAAAACGAAGCTCGATGTTTGGGTGCCACACCAATTAATAGAAAAAAACATGATGGATCGAATTTCTATCTGCGAAGCCTTGGCCAAGCGGAATGAGATAGACCCATTTCTTAAACGGATGGTGACTGGAGATGAGAAATGGATCACATACTGTGCGAAAACGATCGTGATCAAAGAGCGGTGAAGCACCTCAAACGCTGGTCAAACCAGGACTAACCAGGAAGCCAGGAAGGTTTTTCTATGCATTTGGTGGGACTGGGGATTATTTATTATGAGTTGCTTCCTTATGGCCAAACGCTAAATTCTGATCTCTACTGTCAACAACTGGACCGTTTGAAGATAGCGATTGACCAGAAACGGCCAGACTTGGCCAACAGGAGAGGTGTCGTGTTCCACCAGGACAACGCTAGGCCACACATATCTACAGTGACTCGCTAGAAACTTCGGGAGCTTGGTTGGGAAGTTTTAATGTACCCGCTATACAGTCCGGACTTGGCACCAAGCGATTATCATCGTTTTCTTGCATTGCAAAATTTCTTTTATGATAAAAAATTGGAATCTAGGGAGGATTGTGAAAATCGACTACTAGAGTTTTTTGCAAATAGAGACCGGGACTTCTATGAGGGAGGCATTTTGAAGTTACCTTTAAAATGCCAACAAATCATACAACAAAACGGTGCATATTTGACCCAAATCGAACAATCCGAAGCATGTTAAATAAAGTCCTGAACTTCATATAAAAATAATGGATTTCTTTTTAAGAAAAGCCTCTGGGGACTTGTTTTTTTTTTTCTTTTTCCTGACTCCCGTGCTGTAGCTGAAGCACGGCGTGGGTGTGCACATGAGGCCCCGCTTCACCCCCGATTACTTTTCATGGACCCCACAACAATTGACTCCTCTTCCCTCCTGAACAGTCGACCCCTATCGTGTTTTACATGCACGATTTGGTGGGCGTACCGCTCAAGAACCCCCCTTCATATTGTCGCCCTGCCCAACAGATCCACGCCGGAGCGACAGAACTGCGATAACA